CTTCGACCTCTTTACTACCGCGGTTACGTGTTTGTAAATTATCTTGAATGGATTAAAATTAAATCGCTCGAGTCTGGAACTCGTTAAAGATTCCATATAAGACGGCCTTAAACGCGTATTCAATTTTTCAATCAACGCGTATACCGTATGCAACGAACAAAATTATAAATTACACTTTTACGGAGTAAATTAAGTATTAAAGATGTCAGTCGAGCCGTTCGGGAATCGAGTGGGAAGAGCTTGTAACGCGAGCTTCGTTTTTAGCAACGTTTACGTAGGTTTACGTAGGTATTTCCACGTATCAATATTTACATAAGGTTAGCCATCGAATGAACCGTGCTCGAACGAGAACTCGATAAAACCGATACCAGCGCGATTCCAGTAATTGATCAACGGTTTAGCAGAGAAGGACTAAGTGTCGTAGAAACGCGTTGGTGGAATAGTAGGATTAATTAGAGGCAATAGCGACGACAGGTTGGAGCAATCGACGAGAAAGGTTTACGGTCGGAGGAGGAAAGGATGAATGAAAGCTTTCGGCTCGTGTTGCCACCCGCGTTCCTTTTCAGCCTGCCGCGGTTTTCTATAAATATTTTGAACGTCGTAACGGTGCAACGACGCTTAAAGTCTCGTGGTTTTATTTTTCTCACAAGCGCGATTAACTGCTCATTTGGAGATTGTACAAAAATGTTCATATTCAGCATCAAAATTCACCGTTTACTGGGAAATCTATTAACCTCAACATGGAATTTTCTCGTATATTTTTGGAGCACGAGGCGGTTTGTCTTCCGATTAATTTAGCAACGAAATGGTCGATAGCGTTCCAATTACTCGCGAATAGTATTCCAAGTACTCGATATACTAGCACGCCGACTGCTTAACGGTGAAGAATCACGTACCGTCACGGACACGGTTAATTTCATAACGCTTCGAAGAGGACGCTTTCACGCGATGCATAATCGATCGTTGTTACGCGAGGCCTCCCTCCGTGTTTCACCATTCGCTCATGGTTATCAGTTTTCCGTGCGATTAGGCTTTTCGGCGCGACGGCGACGGCCGCGTTACCCTTTCACCTTTGACGCATCAAATTAAAAAATACCTGCGATGCAACGCATCATTGATATTGCTTTAAATGCAACACACGCGATTGTAATTTACGAGAGAAATAAGAGTTACGATTTTTCTTTTTTTTTGCAAAATCTGCTACGCGCTATACATTAGTGCATTAAGGTTGTCCCGAAAGTTTCTTTCGCGAGTTGCGACTCGATTATTTTCTGTGGTCGTGTTTCTATAAATAGACAATCTAATTTCATAGATATTCGTGTTGTGACAATAACGGAGCAAAATGAATCGTGCCCAATTCAGTGATGTAACATAAAACATAAACTATCGCGCGTGTATTGATTGTTAATAAAGCGAAAGAAACTTTTCGGACAACCGAATACGATGCTTACAGGTAAGTTTTGTCCCAAGGTTTGATGGGAATGTATAGGAATCTGAAGGAATCTCTGAAGGTGCTTCGAGGAGAAGCAAAACTCTCTACGTAAATTCCGTTGTTTCCTTGATACTAAATGACGTTCTATAAAATATCGACTGTCTTCGCGCGGAGAAGGATCAGCCTCCAGGTATGTAGGTCGCGGCGTCACCGTACTTTTACGGATTATGCTTCGTACCTTTTGCCTTCGGAAGATCTTCCTCGTTGCATGACGCGCGAAACGAGTTCCATTATTCTTGGAATTATCCGTCACCAGGCGACAGAGATGGGCAGACACTTCCGAAACGATGGATAACGATACGAAACGAACGTGGAATAATTTATTCGATCGAAGAAGCTGAACTATTGTAGTAACGATAGGCATTATTAGTATATAGTCATCGCTAGACTGCGGATCTTTATGCAAAAATAAGATCTTCGCGAACACGTGCCTAGAAAAATTGAACCTAAGTAGGAATTTATTTTATTTTGAAAATATTATAACGTGAAATTTAATTTCGATCCTTTTTATATTCTTTGCATTTTGCATTTGCAGTTTGCGTTTCGTAGGTTCTTGTACGTTCAAATTTCTTATAAATGCACGAATTTATTTTATTCCGCAAATATTATAACGTGAACTTTACTTTCAATCTTTTTTTACATTCTTTGCGTTTTGCACGTTTTTGTACATTCAAATTTCCTATAAATGCACAACGATCCGCATTATGGTCGTCGCCATCGTATATAGTTACTAATTATATATTTTGTTAATTAATAACATTTGTAGGAAGGGGTGAAATCCTCTTCTGGATAAATTAAATCAAACTAGAGATACAAATACAGGAGATTTTTTGAAAAAATCTCGTGTCACCCCAACGGGATTAGAACTCGGACCCCTGGCGTGGAAGACGAGCACATTAACCACTGAACCATTGTCACACCCTCCTAATCGTGCTCTTATTTGACCCCTTGTTATCAAATATACAGGGTGTCCCAAAAGTCGGGGAGGAGCCGGAAATGGGGGGGGAGGGGAGGTAGCTGAGACGATTCTGAACAACAATTTCCTTAGCGAAAATGTTGTCCGAGGCTTCGTTGAGAAGATATTAACGGAAAACGTCGACCAATCAGAGCGCGCGTAGACCGTTCGAGCGGCCGCGGTAGCGTATGAGCGCGGCCGCCTAGCGCGTAGCCTACGCTCTGATTGGTCGGGGTTTTCTCTTAATATCTCCTTAACGAAGCCCCATCCGACATTTTTCCAAAGGAAATTGTTGTTCAGAATCGTCTCAGCTACCCCCCATTTCCGGCTCCTCCCCGACTTTTGGGACACCCTGTATGTACTTATAACGTATCATTGCTCTATCAAGTTATCCTTCAACTTCCTTTAAGAAATTACTTAAAACTTGTCCTTATGAATGATTGAAAAATCCATCATATCCGCATAAAAATCACAAAAAAATTAACTAACATCCCAACATCCCAATCTCTATTCTTAGACGAAGTCGTTTCTCCGTCGACATTTACGACACTAATAATCGGTCCACCCCGTGTATACTCCAACGGATTTTATCGTAGTTTAATTTACGGGCCACCTTGTAAAACGGACGTTTTATCGCCTCGCGTCGCTTTCCGTATAGTTATATTTTCCCCACTCAATTTTAGCTCCGAGCACGTTCGACGGAGTCGTAACACCGGTTTTATCGTAATTTCAATTTACGTCGCTCCTTGTAAACGCGTCTCCGTATCACGATTTACGTTCACGTCGCGTTACGTTCAGCCTCGGGTAGGCCTCCGCTCTAAAATCGCCGGGCGGAACGACAAATTTAAAATGATACGTGTAAACGGTTGTTCCCCCCGGTATAATCGTTAGGAGACATCAAAGTCGCCGCGGGTCCTCTCTATTTTTACATCCGAAGCTTTTCAGTTCGTGTTTTCGTTGACAACCGTCCCGATATCTACTCAAACAACAATAAAAAAAAAAAGAAATAAAAAAAATTTGTAAACGAACGTTCGAGTCGCGCGATGCGCGTAGATTGGAAACGTTAAAGTTTCGTTTGAAATTGGGAATAGAACGATAAGTTGCGTTGAAGTATCGATACTTACGGTAAGAAAAGTTTTCAGCTTCCAAAGCATTCGAGAGCACGAGCGATTCGAGATTTGAAACGCGTTCTAACACCGATGAGACTTTAAGAAACGCGTTGCGATGATCAAACGGAAATAAACTCGCGCGGTAGTAGTATGCGCCGAGGCAAGTCCGACGTGTCACGCCGCGCGAGCTGGAGCGCACACGTTTCCGTTTGCACGTAGCTACGAAACTATCGCTCGTCGTCGATGCTTACCGATATATCACTAAAACTGTCCATTACGTATTTTACATGCAAATATGCAGGACGTGATCGCGATTGTAATCACTGTCGTTATTATACCTATGTCCTTACTGTAACTACAAACATCGTCATTCCAGTCGTCATAGGAACGTCATAACCTCTAAAAATTTGTCTAATTGATATTCCACAATCCATAATCACAATCATTATAATCATTATAATTCACGTGTTATCCAAGTAAACGGCGTAGCTGTTACGCCAATATTCTTCTTGACCTTAACGACCTTAACCGTTCGACCAAGTTCGATTAACTGTTCGCGGCAGTTGTCGATTAGCGAAATATTAGGGTCTCGTTTTTGATGCACGATCAACGGAGTCGGTAACGTGTAGCCACCTACGATTGATTACACGTTGTAATGAATAACGAGTACGATTCGTACGATGGAGACATTACACGGTACGATCTCGTGGACGTAATGACAGACGATGCACGGAAGTAACGAGAGTAACGCGTTAGCGGCATTAAACACTTGCACGAAAGAGAAAGCGAGGGATGCCCGAGCGTCCATCATTAACTCGATGCAACCGAAAGCGTTACTAAAAACTTCGCGAGACGACATAATCTGAATTCTGATATTCTGCGCGATATATAATCAACGTGTAACGCGAGCATACTTCATTTCGACCGTAATTCAGTCGTCGACGATTCATTTCGTTAATATAATCCCTCGTGTCTATGTTTAATAAATTATGTAGTTTCAATGCACCGATATCGACTTTATTATATTAGGGGGACCGAAAAGTAATAATTTTCTTTTACATTAAATTCAAGCAAATTCATTCTGAACAAGTATCTATTTTTAACCAATTATCAATCTGCCAGCCCTATGTCATACAGTGTGCAAATTTTCAATTCAAGATCGATAAAAATCAGTGATCCGATGATAAATAAGTATCGAGATTTTCAGAAACGACATTATATTCCAGTCCGCTTAATAATTAGTACTCTAAACATGGCAAGGTGATAAACTAACGACATCGTTCACGAAAGAAAATACGATCTAAATTTTTCACAGAAGTTACTTCGTTAACTGTCGCGATCTTGTACCGCGTAAACAAATAGCTAGCGACTACGCGTTCTATAAATTTATCATTTCTCTGAAAACCGTGATCGTCGACGTTGATTGTCATTGAGGTGTACTTACAGTTTGGTGAGATTGACAGTGGATGGAAGTACGCCGGCATCGAGGGGCTCGAGGATGGAGAGGAATCCAGCCCCGCGACAGGTGAACTCGCGTCCATCGGCGGTGATGTTGCAGGTTTCCAAGACGGGTCCCCTCGAGGATCCCGGTTGCTTCTCGGCGGAGCAAATCCGGCAGAGGAACATCGCCAGGATGACAAGAGCAGCAGCAGTGCCGCGGGAGGACTGCGTGCACATGCCGGCCAGCTTGATAGTTTTTCCTTCCGCCGGAGTCGCCGCGCCCAGGACACGTTTTTGACACTTCACAGCATCGTATCAGTAGCGCATCGGGACCGTTGTCCCCTCGACCAGCGAGAAGACAGTTGGCTTCGGGCTTTCTGCCGTGTACGAAGGATAACGCGACGTGCGGGGTGCTTGCGAAGCTCGTCGAAGCTCAAACGAACATACACGCGCGCACTCGTCTCACGACGCGAGTCAGGAATCCGCGCACCACGGAAGACGTTTACCGACTGACCGCCGCGCGCTACGTGAATCGCTGCGCACTGATTCGCCCCTCTCTCGCTCGCGCTCATGCCGCTCCCCACCACTAGCGCGAACCAGTGATGGTCATTCGTGGATTTTTCCTTCGAGGTATTCCTTTCTGCGCATGCGTAAGCTGACGTCACAGCTACATGTCGTCTGCTACCATACATGTATCCGAACCGCCAGAGGAGGTGCATTTAAGGGGCCTGTGCAATTTTCCGGCGTTTTTAACGGACAAATTAAGTACAAGAGTGTTAGTGTACGTGAGTGTAATATTAGGGAAAATTAAAAAAAAAAATGGATAATGAACCGCAGCCGTCCACGTCAGGAATCATTGAGGAAAAAGAAGATGTGACAGCACATATGTGACAGCATATGTTGAACTATTGTTAGTGATCAGCAGCGCCATCGGTGCCAAAACGCTCAAGTTTGTAACGAAAACAGTTCGATATCTTTATTGCTAGACGGCACCACTAATCTGTTCACTAAAATTACAGTTATCTACATATTTTATTTGCTTTTTCCATAGTTTTATATCTTGCCAACCATAATATACGACTACTTAAACCTTAAAACTTGATTTTTAACCCACGACTGCTCTATTATTAAAAAAATTATTATAATAAAAATGTGGCGCCATCTACCATAGAACGTCCAAGTTGTAAACAAGTAATTTTATTTTTCACCACTAGATGTCACCCCGTAGAACTTAATTACTAGTTCCACGTCTAGTGGAAGACTCCTTCTACTATTTCTCTACAAACTTGAGCGTTTCGCCACCGATGGCGCTGATCGTTAGTTCCCTCGTAAACACAATAAAAACAAAGTAGTAGATATCTAGATATTATTTTAAACTCGAAAAATGTTCGTATCACGCAAGGCGAATTATAGAGAGCATTTAGAAAAGAGACTAAAATATTTATTACTCTTAATACTTTGTCCTTTTAAGTCGAGCGTGTCAAGGACATGTACTTGCATATATCTAAATTTATTTTCGAGATTATGAAGTCGTTCTGACAAACGCGTCGCTGTGTTATCGGAGAATGATTACATATACAGGGCTTCATTTACAAATTGTCGTTATACAAAATATGCCGCTAATTGAGCCATCTTATCCTTCGAAGGGCGGGGTTTACCACGACTGCGACCTTTCGTGTGACCGCGACTACGAGTCGCAACCGGTTTCGAGGCAACTGCACGATGCTTCTCCACGAGAGGCGAGAAAGCTGCTGTGCAAAAAACGCAACCAGTCATCTCTGTCGCCTCGTTAGGAAGCTTGGTCTTCTCCTGCAATTAAACAAAAATTCACTTTGTATATTAACGTCGCGAAGAAGCAATTTAAAATGAATTGTTTTACCTGTTTATATTCAACAGTCACCAACTGCGCTCCACAGTCGCATACTTCCGTGTCGACTACCACTTTGTGAGCATTTTCGAATAAATGAATAATAACATCGCAACGATTGCAGCCAAGCTTCCATTTAGGCGCAGCTGAAGGATCGAGCACAAGTATGCCCGAATCGCATTCAAGACAACTCGATATACCGTTCGAATTCATACCATGAGGACAGGTTGGATGCGTGCACGAATTACAACCACTCATTCCTTTCTTCATGTCTCTGCAATTCATCGTGGAAGAGTTTAGCTTGATAATATATTAACCAGGATTAACCCTTCTATATGTTATAAGAAGATAATAATAACCTAAATGGCAGATTGTTGTAGCAATATGGACAGAACGTGTAACTTTTCCCCCGTGCTCCCGTGGACCACGAGAGCAACTCGAAATCATCCAATGGGCATTTTAATTCCTTGTAAATTCGGATGTTGCCATTTTGCGGGAGCTTATAAGTTTCGTTGCAATGCGCGCAATGCATCCTTGATGGTTTTGTTTGTATGTACTTCATGTAGCGTCGACATTTTCCACACCTGGAGTACGATTTTCCCGACGCGGACAGAGGAGAAAATGAAACTTCGAACAATTGGTCCATAGCTTCTATACTTTCGACGAAATAATGAAACTTTTGTTTGAAAATTTCTACCGTGTGTTGCAGTACGGCATGGTAATCTGCTCGACCCAAAGATATCAAATTCAGCTGTTCCTCCACTGCAGACCTCATCGTTGGTAAGATTAGCTCGGGATCTATCTGATATTAATCGACAATTAACGTATAATTAATTCATTATCCGCGCATATTAATTACTTTTGCGCGTATACCTTTTGATAACCGTGAATCAACACGATTCCTAACGATGTAGGAACTAATTTTCTTCCAGCTGATACGTTCACATAATTTCGCGTACATATATTATTTATATGTACCGGAATAGAAGCGTCCGTACCGATACCGTGTTTCTCCATGAGAGATATCAGTTCCGCTTCTGTTAAATAATCTGGGGGTTGCGTGTAACATTCGAGCAGCTTTGTCTATAAAAAATTACGTGAGTAAATAATCGAAGATTAATGTTTTCGTTCTTCGAGTAATCAAAACTAATTTTATATCTTAACAACCTCTTGTATATTGACCCTGTCACCAGGCCCGAATCTAGGCAACGTATCGTTGCTTCCGAGTGTCTGCCACGTAAGAATGCTAGTGTATCCGGGGTCCAATAAAGTATGACCATTCACAGTAAAAACTTCCATTCCTATCTCAAACTTGACTGTCGTACTCAAATATTTACAATCTTGAGCCAACTGCAACGTACAAATTATTTCAGTTTTTAGAAATTCAAAGGAACTTGGATTCCACTAAATTAGCAATACTTACGGTAGCGATAAAATGTCGTGTGATGTAATCGTACAAGCGCCACGAATCGCCATCGAGTTCGTTTCGTGTGGCGTGGCTCATTGGAGTAATAGGAGGATGGTCACCCACGTTATGACCTTTCTTTGGTCTATTTATACCTGTCGCTAATATTTTACGAACATAGTCTCCCCAATCGGAACTGTTTTGCTGTTGCTTCAACGCTGCACTAAATACAAAGTTATTCGTGCATGCTTAAATTCTGGAAAGTTGAAATTAACGAGTTTCATTCAACTCACAGTAAATCAAAATTCTCCGGGTATAACGTTGTTTCGGTTCGAGGATAACTTATATATCCCTGCGTATAGAGACGTTCCGCAATTTGCATAGCGTGATGCGGACCCATTCCTAAACCTGAACTCGCTACCTTCATCAATTCTACGGTATTCAGTGCTATAGGTCGTGACTTTGTTTTTTCTGTGCTTTCGACACTCAAAATCCTATATCATATATACGATAAGTATTTCATAATCGCGCTGACGATGGTAATACATTTATACTATATGATACTAACGTCGCCTGGTCGTATTCTTTGATATGGCTTAGGAACATGTTTGCTACTTCTTTGTCAAAAGACCGTACGCGGCTCCAACTTAAAACAATATCTTGACCATCGTTAGATTTAATTGTAACCTTGAATGTATGAGTTTATTTCCTTGTTTATACTGTATATTTGAGTTATTTTAGAAGAATTATACTCTACTGTATACAAAGACATAGCTATGTTATTATAGATAGACCATACCTGTATAACCCAATACGTGTCTGGCTTGAATGTTTGAATTTCGTCGTGCCTCTGAATGCAAAAACCTAGAGTCGGTGTTTGGCATGGACCATAAGAAATAAGGGTCACATCCAAATCCCCGTATTTTCCCTAGTGGAAAAAAGTACATGTTAAGTATTTTGTAACAAGTCAGGATAATTTTATGGTGGTTGTACCTGAAAAAATTTTGTCTGAAACCTTGTAAAGGCACAGCCAATTCGTAAATCCAGCTCTTGTCGGGCATCCACGCTTTTAGCTTCATTTTCATTGGGTTTCACTAAATTTGCCAATGCAGATTTAATATCCTTCTCTGTGATAGCAGAAAATCGAGCTCGCCAAATATCCTATGACAGATGTAAAATTCTTAAAATTAATTTTAAGAGAGATTATATATTAAAAGGACATTGAAAAACTTACATTTGGACTCAATTTCTTACTCATGCCTTGCTGCACTGCATTTATAACTTCAAAACAAATATTTTCACCCTCTTTGTCACAATCTAGCCATAATATTAAGTAATCACAATGAGCCCCTTCTTTGGCAAGGAAGTAAGGGATTCTTAATTTAGGAACTCCTTCTTTCTTTTCGGTTGGGCACGAAAATAATTCTACCTTAAACACAATAAGAAATAATGGTGATTATTCGTGCCTGTTAAAATATGATTGGAAATAACAGAAGTATTTTGTACTTACAGGGTCGACTTTATCCCAATTGTTATATTTTCCTATAAAATCCAGGGTCATGACATGACCGCAAACTGCAGTCATTTTATAATTCACCGTTTCAGATCTGAATTGACCTATCCATTCATGCACAGAAGAAGCTCCATTTAACCCTGAAATATACATTAAACATCGCCTTGTATTTAATCCTCGCTTTTTAAGTTAAAACAATATATTGCGTACATAAAGTTAATATTGAGTTTCACGAAAATATAACCTACCTTTTCTGGAAGTGCATCGACCATTACTTAAAATATTAGCCAGCGAAGCTGCCAGAGACGGCTTTTCAGCCACCATCAACGCAGTTTTCATTTTTTTAACAGATATATACGTATTTTAACAATAATAACTTTTATTAAACGAGTGTCAACAACTCCGAGAACTCTGTTACCTAAGAGCACACGCGTTCTATTAGAACACCGGTTGTGTACATACACTTTATTCATTAACAATAAACCTGATTAGTATAACAATGAAATCTCCTATTTTTTGACATGGTGCAAATTGAAGTTGTCAACCATTGTTAACTATACGCAAATTCTTTGCACGAAGTGTTTGTATAAAAAATTAGGTTTCGCTTGTCACAACGAAATAGATAAACGAGCTTGTCAATAAATATTTTTCATAGGCATGTCAAATGTAATTCGTTACATTTTCAATTATAATAATTTTTTATACGAGCTTAGTACGAAAGTGGGGAAAATTGCGAAAGTTGTGATGTAAATAAAGCTTGGATCATATCTGTCAAATAATTGACATCAACTATAGTTAACTGTATGTATATATATACATAAATTGTAATCTAACGTAGGAAGTTTACATCTTTATTTGTCTTTTTCTGTTTCTATAATATTGTTTCTAAATAGTATACAGCGATTGAAAACTGCACAGATAATTCAATGATACGATTTCCTCTACCATTTATTTCCTAATTTTAAGAATATTTAAAATGTAGAAATATCGTTTATGGTTTATAGTTGTTCATATAGTACATGATTTCAAGCTTGTGACCAGTTGTGACTCATCGACTTGTCAGTTCCCGAGTAATCAGATTGAATCAGACTGTACTCAATATCAAAATTCTAACCTAACAAAAGTCAAATTTCGAAGGAAGATAACGTCTCGATAAGTCAGGTAATTAATTTACATGACCATACGTGTATTCGTTGTAACAAACGTTCGTAAATTTGAATCAGATTGCAAATATATTTTTTGAATGCAAATTGTATTTCCTTGAACACACGTAATTTCTTTGATATATAATCAAACACTCATCGTTTATAAATGTTTTCATGACAATTTCTTTGTTTATAGTAATAGCAGTAAGTAGACACTTTCACTCGCAATCATGGAGTGGTTATTTGGAAAGCGGGTTACTCCTGAGGAAATGCTCAGGAAGAATCAGAGAGCTTTAAACAAGGCAATGAGAGATCTTGATAGAGAGAAAATGAGAATGGAACAGCAGGAAAAGAAGATTATCATGGATATTAAGAAACTTGCCAAGGATGGGCAAATGGTAATATAATATAGTTTACTTCTTTTAACACATACTTATCATCAATCATTCGATAGGATGCTGTGAAAATCATGGCTAAAGATCTTGTGAGGACTAGACGTTACGTAAAGAAATTCATGCTAATGAAAGCAAATATCCAAGCAGTCTCTTTAAAGATTCAAACATTACGTTCACAAAATACGATGGCTCAAGCAATGAAAGGAGTCACAAGAGCAATGCAGAATATGAATAAGTGAGAATATGTCCTTTTATTTAAAATTAGTTTTTGATATTAAGCTTTTCTTTTGTTTAATATACACGAACGTTACTCGTTTTACAGACAATTGAATCTTCCCCAAATACAAAAAATATTGCAAGATTTTGAGAAACAATCAGAAATAATGGATATGAAAGAAGAAATTATGAATGATGCGATAGATGATGCAATGGAAGACGAGGCTGACGAAGAAGAGAGGTAATTACAGGCTAAACATAATTGCCATCTTAAACTGAACCTGAAATTGCTTATTTTAATCACATGTATTTTGCGCAGCGACGCCATTGTATCGCAAGTTCTGGATGAACTAGGTTTACAATTGACGGATCAGCTGTCTGGTCTACCACAGGCATCCGGCTCGTTAACTGTATCGGGTACGAAACAGCCAGTTGCAGCTGCTGCAGGAACCGATGACGGTGGTAACCTCGCGGATGCAGATGCAGATTTACAAGCTAGACTCGAAAATTTACGACGCGAATAAAAATGCGTAATTTTGAAAGATGTATAAAGTATGTAAAAAAAAAGCATTGACTTTGTAAGCATATATGATTTTATACGCTCTGCAGCTTTAGTTAGAGGTATGGATACTTTAGTGTAGCATTTGCACTTGAATTCATTCATTTAGATGTACAATCTGTAATATATAAAAGTGTTAGTTAAAACAATTCTTCGAGAAGAAAGGCATCTATGTTGCCCGAATTATTTATTAAGTATTATTTTTACATTACCGTATGTTACTTTTTTTATAACAATGGAGCAACATTTTTTCACGTAAAAAAATTAGTAAAGAACACGCCGAATTACTTATTGAATCTTACGCTTATACCTACTACGTACTACGTATCGAGAGGGCTACCGATTAAAATGCAATGGACAAATTTTAAAATAAAGTGTATCTTGTCATTGCATTTTATTAAATATTAGTCTTCTTTTTTAAACTTTTGAACTATCATGGTTTCTCATGTGGGTTCCCGTCATTTTTGTTCAAGTAAATAGATATCTGGCGGTGAAGAGGTCGAACTAATTTGCGGAGTTTGGTCAGCCCCTCTATCGGGAAAACGCTCAAGTTTGTCCTCGATAGTTCCTTTTTTTTACTGCTAGATGGCGGTATTTACATACTTTTTTACCAACATGATGGTAATATATCGACAGGTCGGTAAAGAAAAAACCGTGTAAATGGCGCCATGTAACAGTAAAAAAAGGAACTATTGAGGACAAACTTGAGTGTTTTCCCGATAGAGGCGCTAACCGAACTCCGCAAATTAGGTCGGCCTCTCCAACACTAGATGGCGACGACAATAATAGTGTATGGCGCCATCTAGTCGTAATAGTGGAAACTATTTTTACTAGAAACTTGGACGTTTTGTCGTCAGATAACGCCACTATAGATAAAAAAAATTATATGGTTAAAAAAATAACTGACAAAAAGGAATTAGAAAATATTACTTACCTAATATTAGATATTAATTAAAATATCAAAGAAAGAGGATGCGAAGGGTTTGTTAAGGCCATGGAATTTATAGGGAAAGAAAAAGGAAAGTGATATTCTTGATTGGGAGAAATAAATAATTCCGCGAGAAATATGAAATATTATCTCTATTAAACAAAATGTACATATACATAATAATGCGCAGTGGATAATCATTCTAATATCCTGACCGTGAAATACAGGTATAAAATAGAAGTCTGGTCTGGTTTGAAACATGGCCTAGTAGACGTTGAAAATGAATACGAACGGTTCAATTAATTGATCGTAGTGCACTGAATCGATAATTCGGTATCGTTATAGAAAGTTTCAATAAACGTATCTATGCACAGATATAGGGAAAGTGAAGACAAAAGTAACCAAAAGAAAATAAAGGAAAACGTTTGTTCTTTTACGATAATACTAAAGCAGAGGAACGAAGAAAACGAGAAGCGCACGCGAAAGTCCGAAGTAACCGATACATATTTCTAGAAATCGTTTGTTACGATATAGCAATCCAGTGTACGATAAACCACTATTCTATCTTAATTATATTTAGAGAGTATCAACGAAGTTGCTGTTAAAAGTGCTGGTTTATCATTCTCATTTCTTTTATCTGCCGTAAGGACGTTCGATTCCGAATGGGTTCTCGTACATCCGTGTTCGAACATCTCTATCGTAACCTGATCACGTGCTTCTGTTTGCTACACACTGAAATCACTATCGCGTGCCCTTTCGTAATTCCTCCGTTCCTCGAATGGTAAATCCTATAGAAATACGATGTAGTTTACAAAACTGTGATGGGACCTTCTGTCAATCACATGTATATATATTGTCAATATCTTTTAAACATCTCAGAGGTACCGCCCAAGCACAACGTACCCCAAGCTAGAATCTTTATATCGAGGAGATATCTTGTAGCGCCCCCTCGTCGTGTTTACTTAGAATTAAACGCGTTTGAAAATTCGCGCGTGTTCGATACTCCGCTAGTCACACGAAGTACTGAAATTTATTGGATAGTAATCGTAATTGATAGTATAGATGATGGTAATAAACACTACGCGAAATAAAAGTGTTACCAATTTTATGATATCGGGGATGGATTTGTTTCGCTTGTAGTAAAACGAATTTATACGAGTTTGCGATGTTGGTCGATCAACGACCTGGTAACTTTTTTGGCGGGAAAAAGACTACACTCGCAAGCGATGTTACATTAAATCGTGCGGAAGAATGAAGAATTTTTTTCGGTTAGTTTCTATCCACGCCTTTATGTTCGTTCGTTCGCAAATTGTTCACGTAAACAAATAGTTTTTTTTTACCCTGATATTTGTGCAGTCGAACGGAAATTAACGATCGCGAAGGAACAGAATCGGAAATAGTCTGCTTCGAGTACGTTTACAACTGTGTTTCTTCGATGGTACCTAAAGTCGCCGATGTTTCTTAAATAGCACCGTTTCTATGGTTATCGTTCTCTCCAAATACAATTTTATACGCATATTTATCAGAGTCGCTCTGGAAATTTTTACTTGGTACTTATCGTGATATCGAAAATATGTTTTTAAATACTCGGTACTTGGTTCGAAAGAAAAATCGTAAACGAGAGTTGCGATTGAGGACGTGTCAGGTAAATTCTAGAGAGACTATGAATTTAAAATTGACAGCCCTAAAAGTTTAACAGTCAACGTCATCCAAATGAAATTGATTTCCCAGAGTTCCCGCGCAAAGTTTGCAGAACGAACCTGATGCATTTGCTATGACGTGCGGTATTCTACGATATAATAGAAAGTCGTACGCAACATCGAACCTCGTGTTATTACCGCGATAATTATATGCTTCTCATTGGATGTAGGGGGAATAAATATGCGCGAAGGACAATTCTTTTTTTTCTTCTTAAATATTCGCTATATAGGTGTGGGATTATTAGACCTTATACACGGTGTCTGTGTCTGTGTGTGTATGCGTGTGTGTGCATTATGTACGTTTGTATGCATTTGTTCTTACGTGTACCGTACATACTCGCATGCATGTATGAAGATAGGTCACTATACACACACGCAACGTACATATGCCCCTTCAGATGTATATACAGGGTGTTCCAAAAATGTTGGAAGTCGTTGAAAGGGGTGGTTCGGGAGGTGATTTGAAACAACTTTTTCCTTAGCGAAAATGTTGTCCGAGGGTTATTGAAGGAGATATTAACGAAAAACCCCGACCAATCAGAACGCGAGTATGCCGGGGGAGCGGCCGCGGTAGCGTATGAGCGAAGCCGCCTAGCGAGTAGCCTACGCCCCACCGGCATACTCGCGCTCTGATTGGTCAGTGTTTTCCATTAATATCTCCTCAACCAAGCCTCGGACAACATTTTCGCTAAGGAAAAAGTTATTTCAAATCACCTCCCGAACCATCCCTTTCAACGACTTCCAACATTTTTGGGACACCCTGTATATACAAGGCTGTGTCAAGCACAGCCTACATTAGACGCAGCGTTCAAATCTGACAGCTTTCTTCGTTATTATTTTTTGTTCGTTTCTTAATTTGCTTGTGGAGTTACGAATAGGAAACCTTAAATCGATTTACCTACGGTAGGTATGTGCGAATGTATCCCGATCGAGCATAACGATGCAAATCAATGGTTTTATATCGCGTCGAAGTGGGTTAAAACAATCGTATCGAGGAAGACTATACCACTGTCGTTAGACTACGATGCTAGATTCAGAAATAAAGTAATCGTATAACAATTGGTTGGGTCGAACCATGGATTCGCACATGCCTGATCTATAGTAACTACTATAATAATTTTATTACGGCGATCTCCGTCTCGTGTACGTATATTTTTCTTTTTACAACTGTTTTCGCGAACCGTTTCTGTACGCGGGTAGTATATGTATAGTAATTGTATATAGAATGCTTGCGTGACAGGTATTATATCGAACAAGAACAAAAAAGAACGCGTCAGAGGACTGGTCGAAAAGATCAGTTTGATCGTGGACGTTCGTAGAATTGTGGGCGAGCTACAAATTTATTAGGCTTATTTGACTCAAAATATTCGTAGAAAGTAACGAATTCATCCTTATGCAATCAACGTAACGTATTCTTAAAAACAAGACAACATGTTCGAACGTTCACGAAATTGTCATAGATTGCCGGTATATGTATGTATGTATGTATGTATAGTATATTGGTTTTGTATTCTCAGTAAGATATTTACAAAAAAAAAAGTGTAGCAAAGTACGCTCGTTTGTAACATATGAAGTATAATATCACTGGGATCCGTGACATTATTTTTTTTTCCTTCTTTGGAGAGATATTAATCCTTTTCGTACGTGCGCGATTGTATTTCACTATGTTCTACGTTAACACTTGTGTAAGTTGGTTTGATATTTGAGTCAACTTCGCGAACTACTACTATTTTTATTATTATTATAATAATAATTATTATTATTTTCATTTTTTTTTTTTTGCTTCTTTTAACTAGGTTTTGTCGCAGTCAGTACCGTTTTAACGTGTAATGGATACAGGAGTCCGGCCGTTACGTTAACCCTTTATTTCCCTTAATTGTCTCTCAATCGTTCATCGTGCGTAATCTACCCGGTGAAAATTTTGTCAACGTACGTGTCTCGATCGTAAACATAGAAAGCTTCGGATATCTCGTTAAGGAATTACTTGACTCGCTTTTGCCCGCGTCTCTTCGTCTAAATAAAGGGTTAATCCCCGTTCTGCTGTTTGTGGTATACTCTTGTTGTCGAATGGTCCGATAGTTATTGCGGTATTACGAGCGTTTTGCGACGATCTCGACTTTCCTACACCCCTCTTTATACGTGATTGAACTTTCGTTTGCGACGCCCATGAATTTACGGACGTACTCTATTTACTTTGGTCCTTTGCGAATTACGTTTCGTTCGGTAATTCAGGGTCGCTGGCGGAGCCTCTCTTCCACGAAGCTGTCGCGAACACTGTCTGCCTGTTCCCCTTCGCTTTTGAAAATACTAGCGAAAAGAAGTAAACGAACGAATATATTGATATGTCGTAAATGCGTGAAACCATAGCTACATTTTTTTATGCTTTCTCTTGAAAAGAACCATACGTCCTTACGGAACAGTGTCGTCAGCTTTCCCGTTCTCGTCTTTTCCCCGAATCTCTCGAATAGTAATAACGCAATAACATCCGCTACTTTGGAACAGCAGTTCCACGCGTCTTATATTCTAATCGCGGGTCCTCGATTTTTCGAATAAACGCTACCGAAGCATCGTTACACTTGGAAATTATCTACGAGAATCAATTGTTTTATTTATATACACGGTAAAAAGAAAGTTCCCGTCGGCCCCTGCCGCGCGCACCGTTTATAATAAGGAAACGACGAGTCCCCACGAGAGAACAAGATCGTTTATCGTACATTCTAATGGTACAGTGTCTCGTGGCGACTCGGTTTCTTCTGTATTTACGCGAAGAAAGGAAAAGCGTCGATCTATCGATCCGGAACTGAATTGGACCTGGGACTATACCAACAATTTTTTAGATTCGAATACTTTACGGGTACGTCAAGTACTCGGACGACATTCGTCGAGTGTCGAAACGTTCGAAAGCCTGCAAAATTTGATGAAATAGCCCCAGCTTTAGCCGATAAGTGAGCGAAACCGAATGTATCTGAATAGTCCGCGAACATAGTGCACAGAAGATATTTTACCTTACGGATAGTTGGAACGTGTTACAGTTTCGGGAATGGGAAAGGGGATCGAGTGATCGTAACAGGTGTTCAGCGATGAAAAAGATTAGGAACCACGGACCTAACGCTTAAACTAAGACTACGTATATCACCGTTCGAGACTAGAATGGATTTCCAACGGGGGTCAATCAAAGACGAACGGATTAAACAAGTGAACGAAGAAACATTTTTTGGTCAAGCGCTTAGACGAACGATACAAATCTCTATTCTATCAAGTGTCGCTTATCGATGAATACCTTTGTTTGCCGATCTGTGCGCTTACGTCGGAAACGGTTTTATTTTACATATTTACACGTCGCCTTCCTCTTCGTTTAACCTACCCCCTAATCCCTTTTCACGCCTCGCGTTCACGCCCCCTTTCTTTTGGTACACAGCGAATGATATTAGATATTGTTTGCAACTCGACACAATGCACCGATATATTACGTCATGGATATACGATTTTATACGCTAGAGATCTTAGATAGTTGCGAGACGTAGCGTTCCTCCTCGGTTTACGCGGTACCTGGTGGACATGAGCAAAGGTCTCGTCAAATTTTATCCATCTCTAGTTCTTGGTGTGTTTGCCTCTAGAAAAAGAATGAGAGAAAATCCAGGATGATCCATCTGCTTTCGATAGACTAAGCGCAAAGAAACCGCGTAGGTACCGCGCGTGATCCGCAAGGATAACGCTACAGAGTCGTTCCACGCGAAACAAGGACACATTTTGGAGCAACATTTCGAGTTTGGCTGAGGAGTTAACTTAAAAACATCATCTTTTAACGCGACGTTTCTTCGTTCGAAGGACTCGTTAGGATAGCTAGACTACCTGTAAACCCCGAGAGGATCTAAGAATCCGAGATCTCTGTATTTAATGCGCTGGGTCAAGACTAACGAAAGACTGCAACGTATCCAAATCTCAGCCAAGACCAATATGTTGCTAAAAAAAAGATGGCTGGTTTCACGCGAAACGACGTTCTCGAGTAAAGCTTTACGAACTGATTAACTTCCCCGATAAGTGATCCGCCTGACGGCGCGGTAGCGCAACGAGCGCGACGCTTGAGAAACCGACGCGCAGAGGATTGTGCGCATGACTCGAGCACAGGCCTCGAGTCATATAGTCCAGACCTGCACCTTCTCCGCGACGATGCACCAGCTCGCGTGGTCGTAGTAGGACGAGATAATGTGCAAGTTCTCCACGTATTTGTTGATCAGTTGGTCCAGCTCGCCCTCCCTGAACACGTGATAGTACTGATGGTATGTGATCGCACCGCCGCCGCGGTCCGACGGCAAGGACTCCTGGGACGAGGACGCGCTCAGGGTGTCGTTGCTTCTCGTGGTGGTAACCAGGCAATCGGTGCTGCGTTTGCTGTTGTCTGGGTACCTGGATGGCGTTTCCTCGGAGGCGGATCGCCTTTGTATCTGGAGTCTGCGTTTCTCCGCGTACGATTTCGGGTACTCCGTGTTGTTGGACGACAGAAGGGACACCATGCTGCTGCAGAGCCTCCCCGTCGACTCCGCGTGGCTACCGTCGCTGAGGCTGATCGTATTGTCGATGGAATCGCCGATGTCGCTCGATTCCATTGAGTTCGCCGCCCTGAGATACGCTGGCTTGGAAGGATGCTTGTCCAACGAAGCGTTCTCCCTTTCGTTCATGAACTCGCCGGTGTTCGAGACCATCACGAAGTCCATTATGTCCTCGGACGTGCTTCGGTGCATCTTGTCTTCGAACTCGTTCAGATTGCCGACATCCGAGCCTATCTTCTCGGTGCTCTCTGTGAAACCGTTGCTATTGCTGCTCAGCCAAGCGATCGTGTTAGACATGTCGTTGTATTTACTAGGCTTCACGGACCTGGCTAGGTTGATTTCGTACGGCATCGTACCGCGCTTGTCCAGGTCTCCTCTCGTCGTTGACAACGTGTCATACAGGATCTGAGTGCTTCTGTCCACCTGGTTCTCGAGTTTCCGATCGTACTGATCGGTGTCTTGCATCAGATTCTCGCTGAGCTTCTCGGTGACGTCTATCAAATGCTTGCGGCACTCCTCGCTCCAGGTGTCCTCTACTTCGGGCAACTGGTAGCTGTCGATCAAACCTGAGTGCTTAGTTCTGAGTTTGCTTTCACCGGTGAGCGACGTTTCGACGGTCTGTTGCGTCGGTTGAGACGAGTACGATCGACTTTGCGTTTTCTGGATGGCTGTCTCCACGGCGTCCTCCAAGGAGCTGGCGACGGTGGCTACCGCCTCTATGAGCCTCGAAGACTGAGACGAAGTGCTGTCCCCTTTGGTATCTTCTTCTTTAGAGTCTGCCACGTACCCCGACGACTCATCCGCGGTCGTGTCGCTGGGATCCGACACGTTCTCCGCAGAACTGTCCAACACTTCTGACTCGGTGCCCTCGGACTTGGTGCTCTCCTTTTTTATGTACCTGTAATTCACGAAGATGTTGTGAGTTGTACATATATATATATATATATACTCTATATTAATTTCATACAGGTTTATTCTACGTACCTTTCATCGGAGATCACGCTGATCACCGAGCCCACCGACTCAGGCGAGGACACTCCGCTGGAATCGCTGTCCAAGTCGTCTGTTTCGGGATTGAATAACTCCAGGGAGAGCAACCGCGGCAGAACTTTCGTAACGGTCTCCAAACGACCGCTGGCCGTGGTCGAGGCGCGCCTAACCAGGGGAAAGGATGGCTTTGTTCGCGTCGCGAAACCTGGTTTCTGTTTCAACAGCTCCTTTATCTGATTCAACCTGGCTTTACGGCTGTCCTCCTCCTTCGCGATCTCCTGGCTCTTCTCTTGCGACGCTATCTCGCAGGGTTCCTCCGTAGTTGGTAGCAGGGGAGCGGTGTCCTCGATGGTCTTGGGCTCCTCGATGTCGACGGTCTCCGACATGGACCGATAGGCGCGTATGGCTTGCAGATTGGGTTTCTTCCCTTCGAAGGAACTATTTCTACTGGGAACCGTCTCGACCTCGCTGTTCCTTCTGCTCGGCTGCAGATCTGTACTCGGTGACTGACTATTACCGTTCGAGACGTCCGTTTTCTTTGCGACAATCGTCGTTTCCTCGGGCAACGGTTGCGGGGCAGAGGTTGTGGAAGCAAAAAACGGCCTCGTGAACATCGGATTGAGGGTACGAGGAGACAAACCAGGCGGACTGGGCGGAGGCAAGGACTTGCTCGTAGCTGGGAACTGTTTGAGCAGGGGCGATATGGAAATGAGCTTGAGCCTCGCATTGGATATATCCGGTGGATATTTAACGCGCGGCGAAGGAGGAGCTGACGTGCTGCCTATCTGGTAACCAGTGGCTACCGGTATAATATCCGCCAAAGGCGGTGCGTCCTGCTTTGGCACGTAGATCACGGACGCGAAACTGTCCTCGGAGTCGACGCTCGTGTCGCTCTGCAGACTGCTGTCCTTGGACGAGTCTGAACCGTCCTCTCGAGACAGGCGTCTCTCGACGCCCTCCGCTTCCTTCTTCGGCGTAGCCGCAGGCTGATTTTTCTCGTTTGCTTTCGTTTTCGACGACTCGTCGTTGGCCGTGTCCGATGCCGGCGTATCGCTGTCCATCGACTTCCAACCCTGAAGGATCTTCACGAAACCGTTCTTGAGCGACAATCCCGACACCTCGATGTTTGTCGTCGACTGTCTAATCTTGTTCGTAAGGCCACTTTTTAACAGCTGAAACCTTCTAGTCGCGTTGCCAGAGTAGAGGGACTCTCTGAGAGCTTCGAACGTGTTTCCTTTGTAGATCAGATCCTCGTTCAGGGATGCCTGCTTCGTTATGTTCCGTCGCAACCTCTTCTTCTCCTCCAGCCTCTCCGTGGACATCAGCTCCTCGTTCATCGAGCTCTGTTTCACGATGCTACCTCGCTTCGAGCAGTGACTGGATGTTATCTAGGGAACAAGAGCAGACAGAAAAATAGAAAAATATTGGTAACGGCGCAGTTACGCTTTGCAGTACACGATTGATTCTACGCACTTGAAAGTCTGGAACGTCCTTAGTTAGATCTTGAATGGCAGTGTAATCAGGATTTTCCAAACCGACGTCGTCAACGTGAGACTTCTGCTTGACTAACCGTGGCTTCGAGCCACTCATCGACGATGAGGTCCTGGAATCGCCGTCCAAATTCGTTTCGGACGTCAACACGGAACACAGACCGGGGATGCTGGATCTGGATCTCACCAGGTCCACCCGTTGGATCTCCAGGATGTCGCCGAGGCTCTTTGACTTGATGCTCAACGAGTCCGACTGCTTGTTCAGCGTCACGTTCACGTTCTCGACGCGGCGCAACTCGATGGGCAGCTCGTCCACGTCGGGAGGCTCGTCTTGCTCGTAGTCCCTTCGACTCTTCCCGCTGCCGCTCTGCCAGCTTTCAAGAAACCAAGGCCGACTTCCGGATCCACGTCTACCTCCGGCTAGTTTCTGAAAACCGTCAATTCCCGTCCTTCACACGTTCCATCTAGAATCCATCGTTAAGTCTATTAAAAAAGAAATATCGGCCGCGATAGTCCGACCCGAATCGGTCCTCGCTGTCGCGGACCGCTCTTCCATTGCGTTCGAAGCACATTCCGCAAGCAGTTACCCTACTTTTTGGCGGGAACATTGCCACGTTCGCGACACGGAATCGATAACGCTTCCCAACGATTTAGGTACATATCGCGGGACACGTTATCGCGCCGAGATGTTAAGAAAAAGTAATTTCGTCCCGATGCACGCGAATGGGCCACGCGCGCGACACCCAAGGTTGCCGTAATTGGACGGCGACATTTCTTTACGTTACGAGCTCTCCAAGAGGCAAATAGGAAATATTCTCGTGACACGACGTTCTCTTTAACGCGATTAAATGGAACAAATAATTCCAATGGTTTATTAGCGCGGGATTCCGTCTTTGTTACCTGCAAAGCGCGGCGAAAAAAGCTGTAGCAGGTCTCGTTGGGGCTGGATAGGCTGCTGGTAGACGGCGATGGGCTGAATATCGGATCGATCCAATAGCTCTTGCTTTTGCATTTTCGTTGGCTGTTCCTGAAGCAAGAACGCCATTAGCCGTAATTATCGTAGTCACGATGGCTCCGGAAAGCTTTCGCGAGCGTTGAAGCAAGGACGCGGAGGGGGTCGAAACGTAATTTCGCCACGGCAATTTCCCACTCGCAACGTAGACTCGGCCGAAAAAGGCTCCGTGCAACCGTACAACGCAAGATAAAGTTGAAATTCTGTGTCGGAGAATTGCGACAAATTACGGGAGCGAGCACTAAATGCGCCGAGACATCTCCGACCGAGTTTTACATTCAGGGATTGGTAAACGGATACGAATCAATTTTTAAGCGGTCAGTCTTCCTTGCGAGGGGATTCGATCGATGATGTACCTTTTGGAAGATAAGTACTTTTGAGCGTTTTGATTAGAGTGCACGTCGTTGAGGTTCGGCGCTCCGGTGCGTTTCGACCTGTCCAGCGCGGAGTTCGCGCAATACGCTTTGGGCCATGGCACTAAAACATCTTGAGACTCGAACTGGAAGCAAACAAGACATTGTTTTCTGACTATGCATCGTTTAACATCGCACAAAACATCGAAAGGCTCAAATAGAAATCAAAGGTCGTGCAAGGTTTAACAATCGCGAAGACTGTATTTAGAAAAATTGCGACCGAGAAGGAAATTGCGAAATTATTCCCGGTGTTAATTCAAAGATCCATTAGGCAATGGCTCCAGCCTGAAAAAGAAAAGATCGGAATACCGGCGATATATTCGAACGGTTTACCTGGACTATGTGCATTGAAACAATCGTATCGATTGGTCGTCATGTTCGCGTGGGCGTATTTCATAGGCACGCTCGAATACCATTCCAATTCAATCGTATCGGATGACGGAATTTTTAAACCGGCTCGAATAGCGAACATCTGTCGCCGAATCCTTGGAATAATCGGGAACCGAGAGCGTCTCGAACGCTCCGAGCGTTATGCGCAGCATTCTATACTCGTTAGAAGCAATAGCATTGGCGTCGCTAATACAGATCGTCGCTATATGTATACAGGTTGGGACCGTGAGAGGAATTTTGATAAATAATAGTGGAAATAGGAGACAATTACTGTGGAAGGCTTCTCGAATCGTTTCATTCTATACTCCGGTAGCGTTACTGTTTCAGAAGTAAACAAACTGAGACTACGCCTTTGATAATCATGCATTTGATGATATAAGAATAGAAATAGAAATGAATTACTCCGGAAGACTTCCTGAATCAAGTTCATGTATTAGGTTGTCCGAAAAGTTTCTTTCGTAATTTGCGCTCAATTATTTTGTGCGGTGGTGTTTATACATTGGGTTGTCCGGAAAGTGCATGCCTATTTTTAAAAGAAAAATTCAAAGGCATATTGATGCATATTTATTGAATTATATATGTGCCATTTCGTTCCACAATCTTTGCATCTTTCAAGAAGTGTACACATGTTATTTGTTTCCAGCTATTCCGACATATTCAGACCTGTACCGCCCACTAAAAATCAGGCATGGACTTTCCAGATAGCTCAATAAATAGACAATCTAATTTCTTAGATGTTGATGTTGTAACAGTAACGGAGCAAAATGAATCGTACACACAAAATATTGTCAACGTATTACTTATTAATGAAATAGAAGAAACTTTTGGTACAACCTAATACATTGAAATATCAATGGGAATCGATAGGAAAATCTCTCGAGCGTTGTTTTACCTTTCTATGCCTTTGTTCCATAGCCCATACGGATATGACTAAACGGCCACCGATTCGCAGTACCCGAGCGAGTTCTTTCAGCGCGTGAACCCTCCTCTCCGTCGTGGCGAAGTGGTGCACCACAGCGATCGAAAGGACCGCGTCGAAACTTTCATCTCGAAACGGCAGGGCAAGATTGTCGCACATTAGCACCTGCAAGACGACAGAGTCTCGTTACCTCTGGTTTCGTCGAGGGAATCTTTAACCATTCATCGGTGGCAACGACGTGGTACTTGTAAATAAATAACCGTGGTTAAAGTACAGTCTAAGGACGTCCGGTAGAGACTATAGAGATGCTTCTTAGACAGGATTCGTTTCAGATCATCCATTATCTTCTCTTTCATTATCCTCTCTGTAAAACGCTGTGAACTTTCTATTTGTTTACATTACATATTTACATCGACGTGAATTCGAACATCGGGAGTTACGACATCCAGCTAACTAGGAAAAGGGTATCCTGAGGAGACAACGCTCCGGATACAATTAAGCCGAGTAATTACGATTAGACCGAGAGAGCAGGATACGGATGTAAGAGTCTGTTTCCTGCGCGATTCGATTCTTCAAAATGATATATTCACCTCATTTTCCTTCTCACGCGCGATATCCGTGAAACGCTTGCACCGGTCCACTCCCACCTTAAAGATGCTGTGATTAACGCTGAGGTACTTCCCGTTACCACAACCTGAACAGACCAACGTAAGCGTGAGTCATTCAACTTCCATCGTCGCGTCGAAACATCGTCGAACGCTTCTTTCTATGTATCGCGGTTATTGGGACACTCTGTATACAGGAAATGGCCGCTGTGCGTTTAACGACTGTTTACGTGAGAATATTCTGCCATGTTTTGGTTGGCCACTGTTTACCTTAACACTTTGCAATGCTTCGTACACAGGAGCCTGAATAATTTGATCACTCAAAGTCACTCCAGAGCCACGCTGATTCTACATTCTACGAAAGAAAGTGAAAGGTCTATCGGAGGAGTGTAATACCTGTACAAGAGTGGAACTCGTGTCGTGACCTTGAGAGGTCAAATTTCGTTGACCCTGAACTCTTCTCTACTCGACAGATCCGAGCCATCGAAACCTTCGAACTGTACGCGTTACTTTTTCTGCAAGCCATTCCCTGCTCTCAGCGTCCAAAATTCTAGCCAATTAATTTGGCGAGAACATCTTAATTTCGAACGAATTAAAAATGTTAGGACGAAACATTCTCGATTATCTTCAGAGTGCCTTCGAGTGCCTTTTAGTGTCTGAATGCCTTTGAGTGTCCGAGTGCCTCGGTCTAACCAGTCTGAGAGCCAGAGGTCGGCTCCTAAATCCGTTTCAGATCAATGATAAGTGGATGCTATAGGCGGAGTGCATGGTTGTCGGCTTCAAAGTTCGCCGGTCGATGAGTTTGTGTAATGGTGAACGGATCCCACGGTATTTCAGAGGCGTGCATGCGACGTGGGATCGTGTGTACGTACACGCGCGCAACCGATCCGTGTAATCTACACGGATTCGCGTTGATACATCCGCGGTGAGGTCAATTGATCATGTGAAAGCGCGAGTGACCGGAGAGCTCGGAGGAAAAAGCGAGCAAAGGAAGGAAACACGGGCAGGCCACGCGACCATAAACGTGCACACAGGTGTGCATGGGTCCGTTTGGGCGCGGTCAGAGGTGGCCAAACGGTATGAAAATGTTCAACAACGATTAAAAGACGAATGAAATTAGTCTGTGCGAAGCTGCCAGCTACCTCTGTGGAAGTTCGTTAATAAATTAAAATTCCGATTTCGTTTTCCATAGGTCTTATACTTCCTGGTCGATTAACACGTTCCGTCGGCGTGTACCACCGGTGGTTCACAGTTTTACGTACCATAGGGCGGCGTGTACCA